TATTGTAGAAGCATTCATCAATGTATGGGTGTAGATATGTGTGGGGTGGAAAAAAAAGATCCCAATGGCAGAACAAATCTTAGTAATTAAACATTTATTAGAACAACAAAAACACATCTTGTGAATATCAGTCACTTTCTCAGAAATATGGTGTGAACACAGGTTCCCTAATAATAAAAGAAGGATGGTAATTGTCTGCCTTTTAATTTCCGGGAAATTCCTGCAAATACTTTTGAAATACTGCCATGCTTGGTTCAGCTGGTTATCACATTTCTCCTCTTAATTCCTAATTTGAAGTTACATAAATTTCCCTTTTTAACCTTAGAATTACATAAGTGAATCAGAGTCCATTATGATGCAATGCCTTAAAATCCACGCTTAATTTGCAGTGACGGGAGGTACACTTTTGTTTTTTTAGCTACAAATGGCGTGTTGATCACATTTTCCTTAACTGCAGTCAGATATGTTTGTTTTGGCCACTATTTGTGAGTGATTTTTGTGGTTTCTACTGTGACATTCACATCCAAGGGCCCATTGACACTATGTGCACTGGGCTGCTTTGCTCAACGCAGGCCCAACACATTCACACTGTATAATCCATTGTTTGCAATAGGCCCAGTTCACACTGCTAGTGTGCGCGGGTGAAAATGGAACATGCTGCTTTTAAGTGCAGCACAACGCAATGCAACACATTCCAATACATAAACCTGTCCACAAATATGGTTTTTAATATAAAATCAGCTTTAACACACAATGATTTTGAACATAAATCGCTCAATATCCTTTAAATGTAACAGAATTGTAATATTAAACAAAACATTTTTTGTTAGTCCATATAATCAGTACAAGCAATCATCCGTCATTCCATTAAAATCAGTTAGATGCTTCCTTTTATTTTTGAATAAGAAGACATGTTATCAATTTCCCAGAATGTTGAGGTTTAATATGAACAGGTTTGGCATAACAGAGTGCAGAGTTTTCTTTCTATATGTAACCGCCTTATGACTATACAGCAGAACAGCTTCACATTTCAGATTTGTATATACATTCAGCTTTAACTGAAGTCCCCATTAGATAAAAGATAGTAGCAAAAATGGGACATTCAAACGACCAGTAATTGTCATAGGTGTCAATATAAATCGGATAAAAGCCGGAATGATTTATAATAAAATATATAATGAGGTACAATGTACTGGCACAAAATGTTAACATTCTGTATATGATGTGATCCTGTATGCCCGGATTCCCCACAAGGCCACCGAGGCGGCAGGGCGCAGAGGGGCGGCAGCGGTGTCCTTGTGAGGAAGTTGCGGGCGCCGGGCGGTAAACATATTGCAGAACCTGGCCTTGGTGCGGCAGGGAGAGTAAATCAGGCCCTGTATATGACCACCTTCACATAGAAACCCCAAAACGTACATCAATATATCATCTTGCTGCGTATTAATTCAAATCATAAATCTCTACACAATGGGATATTTAGTTCTCTACATGTTTTGTGGATATAGTCTACTTCCTCAAGGTAAACAGGGTATTGTGTGTGTACTTGCTATAAATACAATAATTCAAATCAATACCACTATCAGGATCCACTGAGTAATGGGGGAGGACTGCATCGGGTCATCAAATTGGAAACATCCTAACATGAGCCTCGTGCAAAGACTGGTGATAGCGCTGTATTATGTTGTATTCAATTTAGGGATGCACCGATACCAAGTACCGTACTCAGTACAAGAACAAGTACATGTACTGATACTTTTCCAGCTCCAAGACTAGACTAGAGAAAAATGTAAAAGGTAGGAGGCAGCTGTCATTTGTAAGGAGCACACGGAGCTCCTGGGATTTGTACATACCCCATTTTAATGCATTATTTTTGTTTTTATAAATATAAATAAAGGGATGCACCAATATCATTTTTCCAAGTACGAGTACTGATACATTTTTGTTTATTGTCATGTGACAGTTTTTCTAAAACAATACAGACTAATGATTTCAGGACAGTGGTGGAGTGCCAGAGCCAGGTCCCAGCTGCAAACGCTGCAACCCTGGTAGTTCTCATGAAAATGCCAAGTATCTGCACTGGTCTGTGAACTGGTATCTGAACATCCCTAATAACATTTTTATACTTTTATTCAGTATTATATTGATATTGGGAATACTTATCCATAATAAAATGTATGATATAGTGTGCCTCATAAGGAGATGTGCCCAAGTAGATCACATGAGGGTAAGCTGAGATGAATAAAAATGTAATTTTTACAGATGGGTTTCTATATCGAGGTGGTTATATATGTGAACAGTTTGTGCAAACTAACTAATATAATAGTACAAACTATTATATTCTTGTACCTTATACATTTGATTAAAAATACATTTTAAGTTTTTAACAGATTTTTGATGGCATCCATTTTTAGCTACTATCTTTGGATGTATGCTCTTTATGATTATTATAATTATACAGGATTTCTATAGCGCCAACAGTTTGCCCAGCACTTTACAATATAAGGAAGACATTACAGTCACAATACAATTCAAGACAAGGTGGTAAGGAGGGCCTTGCCCGTGAGGCTTTATTGGGATATTTGTACATTACCATATTGCTATATACTTTCCATATATTAATTATTACTAAAAGTCCCCATTAACTACTCAGTAGACAACCCATTAACAATGCTATACTGGCATAAATGTTGCATCCTAGTAACATTGACGTTGCTACACCTTTTACATTATGCTGCATACACTGCACTATATGCACTATATAAACCATCGTGTCAGTTGTTTTCTTTCTATTGCTACTTGTAAAACTATGAGTTTGGCCTAATATTAGCTTGCCAAACCTAACTATTGATCCATCAGTCATTTGTTACTTTGTCTTTCTTATTTCCTCTAAAGATCTAACATACAGTAGTTACCTTTACTTCGATCTTTTCCTACTGAATATATATATATATATATATATAGCATCTCCTGTGATCCATCAACATGGTGTTCCAAGCTGCAATTCTACATAATTTGTACAGTTAGGGTTAGTTAATTGTTCCTGTTTATCAGTATTCTCTTCAGCCTTATGTACAGGTCCCGGTTTAGGCTTACTATCACAACAACAGCAACAGCAATCCAGGAATGCCTGCCCTAATGGTTTAGAAATGCACAAGAGTAAAATAGGTGTCACTGCACACTTTAAAAATAAGAAAAACTGAGTGATAAGCATTAGAAGATTATGAGGGACATGATAAGTGGTGTAGCTAAACAAGATGTTTGTGACATTTTCAGGTAAAATGCATATGCCATACACAATAGCTAAACTTGCAACTATCCAATTGAGCTGGCATTGGACCTGCACATTTTTGATGTTCTTTGTATTTCCAACAATTCTCAGTGTTACTAGTAATGAAGTCATTGTGAAAAGAAGTGGCAGGCAGAAGTAACAGCCCAGAAACCACCACATACGAGCGTGCTTGTAGGTAAGAACTAAGGCGTAAAAAACTGGAGAGAGTTCAGTGGATGGGTCCATGACACAGGAGTCTATAATCAGGCCTGAAGCTGGAGAACGCTCCTGGTGGAGTTGCCACAGAAAAATTTCTGGAAGAGCAAGTGTCAAGGAGCCGATCCAGATAACAGATATCTTTCCTAGTATAGAGCGACACTGTTCCTCTGGCTTTGATGAAAATTGAGATGTTATCCACTGGAAACGATCAATGCCCAGAGCACAAAGAGAGAATGTAGAGACTCCAAATGAAGACACCTGAGGAAAGAAGCAAAACACATGAGCATGCAGCAAAAAGAAAAAAAAAAGTTGTCTTAAGGTGCCCATACACTTTGCGATTATCGTTCGGAAATCAAACTAGATTATGTTTTCATACGATAATCGGGCAGTTGATGGGAAGTGAACGATCACAATTACTGTACAACTGGCTGAATTTCCTTTATCAGTCAGGCTGGAAAACTTTTGTTCGAAACATAGGAAATTCGATGGATCAGTGTCGTTTTCGTACGAAAAAAATCGCCACATGAACACTGCTCATGTGCAAACGAAAGTTTGTTCTGTTGATCGACGAACTTTGGTCAGTTAGTATTGCTAACGAAAGCATTGGTCTGTGCATGATGGGGTATTCGAGCAGAAATTGAATGACGGTTTGATGAGGGCATGAAAGAAATCTAACGATAATCACAAGGTAAAAGGCCAGCCTAACCTGTAGAATCTATTTATTGGTGTACATTAACCCCTTAGCGACCAGTGATGTACATAATACGTCATTGGCCGGGGGTCCATTTAAACAGACTGTTTAAACGGCTGCCGGCTTTGCAATAGAAGTGATTCTGGTGGCTCAGCTGCTGTCAGATCGCTTCTACAGGCTGGTAAAGTGCCCGCCCCCCTGCCCGACATCCCCGCTGTGTTTCCTGGAATTCGCTGCCCCTCCTGCAGGCCTGGGACCTGAAGGAGAGCAATAAGCTACTGAAGTGCAGATCACACTTCAATAGCTTATTTAGAGTGTAAAGGTCATATTAGGGGTTTTGGACCCCCAGTGTCTCCTTAAAAGGGAACTGTCACCACCAATATGCTATCACATGGGGGGCTTGTGATAGCAATTCAAGTAAAGTTAAAAAAACAACGTTTTGAACAATATTATTAAATAATAATAGTAAAAATAATAAAAAAAATTGTAAGTCCCTGCGATCATGTGCGTGTTCACATAAACACGCGTCGGGTGCGCCCACATATGAAAACGTCCATCACGCTACACATGTTGGGTATCGCTGCACACGCCAGAATGAAAGCAATAAGTCTAGGGCCAATATTTATGCATATCTCGAAATTCATGACCTGTAGGGGCTCTTAAATGTGTAGTCTATGGACTTTTTGGGGTACTGAATTTTGTCGCCGTTTCACAATTTGTAACCTGGGAATGTTGGGTATCTATTTACTCGTGGTAACTTCATCTTTTATATTTTACAGAAGAAGTGGGTATTATGCTGTGTTTTGGGGCCCTAAATTTAACTTAAGTGCCTTTTTTACAAAATGTTGGGGTTTGATAAAGAGTTGCGCTAATATCGTGCAACATAAACATTTGCAACTACTGGCATTTATTCTACGGGGTTCTTGCTTTCAAAAAAGATATGTTTGGGGGCTTGAAGTAACGTTCAGGCCCAAAATGTGGGTTATAACATGTGTGCAAATAACGGAAAAAAAGGCCTTGGGAGCGAAAGGGTCATTAAGAGGTTAAGGGGACACAGGAGTATTCAGGTACATATGGTTATGCAACTGCCTTGAGGAGATTGGACACTGGCAAACAGAGCTGAAACCCAGCCAAGTACAATACCTCCCCTTCCCAGCATACCTTAGTTTTGTTAGCAAACAATAGTAGTATTGGATCACAAGAACATTGGGAGGGGGGACACTTCATGTACTCCATTTTACAGGATGGACAGAAATCTTATTTTCTTAATCGTACATTAAGGGACATGGGAGTATTCAGGTACATAGGAATGTTGGTCCACAGCAGATATGAGACATTACTGGATGTAACTTCCCCCTCCCAAGCCCCCAGCACACATAATAAACTTTCCCCCACTTCCTCCCAAGCCCCCATAATAAACTTTCCCCCCTCCCAAGCCCCCAGCACACATAATAAACTTTCCCCCACTTCCTCCCAAGCCCCCATAATAAACTTTCCCCCCTCCCTCTAGTGCAGACCTTACTAATGATCCATCATTCGGCCGGAGCTCAGAACTGACAGAGCTCCAGGCCGGAGCTGACAGGAGCAGTTCTGCGGTCTGCATCAGACAGAGATGCAGATCGTGTAGCTGCTCCCGCAAGTCGGGCATGATGTCCGTGACCGTGTGTCCGACTTGTCAGCTTGCTGACAGGCCACACAGCACCGGCTCGAGGGGCCGGAGTTGGTCCTCAGGCCAGTACTTTGAGACCCCTGGTTTAGACAATAGGGTGCGGAGTTCTTTGTTGTCAATACTGAATGGTATTATGTGGAAATCACTGTGATTAGATTAGATAAATTGTATTTATTTGTGGTACACTTCTAGTTAGAGTGCTTCACTATACAAAATTTTAGTTTGAGATTGTAGATTAGGTTGAATTGATCCCTTGGAGTCACCAGGGCATCCACTGCAAAGGCTACAAAATCACTGAACCTAGAGACAAACCTGCTTCATTTGTTGTTGAGCCTGTAATCCAGAAGGTTCACATTTTGCATCCACCACCTGTGACAGATGCCTTGAAACACCTTAGAGGTGAAGAGACCATTCTCTAGAGTCCAGACATTGAGCAAGTATGCAAACCAATTTTTCATACCTGGGATGTGTCCAGTGAACAGGGCTGAAATGTGAAGTAATACCCAGGCAAGAATCAGATCTGCTTCTCTTTGAGCTGCATGACTTCTGGTTCTTTCCTGATGGTTCATGTAAGCCACTTCTGTGGCATTGTGTCAGGATTTCTTACCCTTTCTTGTCCTTTGAGCTGCAGCCTATGTTCTGTTGCTGTGGCTGACACTTTTCGTTCCTCTTTGGCGTCCTCTTACGACCAAACCTGTAAACATCATCATTCTGCAACTACTGACATACTCCTCTCAACTTCCTGTCTCAGAGTGATGATGCAACACCAGTTCACGGTTTGACTGATCTCCTGGTTCTGGACTCTGGCCATTTCTTTTTGATTCATCCTACTCTCATTGTTCGCTGACCTGGTTTGGCTTGCTACACGCAAAGGACTTTCTCCATTGTTTTTTGCCATTTTGTTTATTTTTATTTTCAAAAAAACTCCATTTATTTTTTTGTCTGTTTTTTTTTGGTTCCCTGACACATTGTCCAACTGAATTCTGGTACAATCACCTTGCAGACAAAAGATCCAGCATTGGAGGGATAGTGAAATCACTCTGAGCTCGAGATCAGGAGACAACTTTCCTCTGCTGATGAAGTTCCCTGTTGCACGTTGTCATCCATTGACATGGGTTTTATTTGTCATCTGCTGTCAAGCTTTTCTTTTATCCTACTTTTTTTTTACATCCAGATTCTAATAAGTCCCTTATCACAGAATCCTACATCCACTGGGCCAGAGATGTAGGTAAGAGGCCCTTGTCCCCATCAACATAGAAACAGAGTGCTTCACCAGTCAGTGCCCCTGGCAAGGTACCCTCCTCGTGTTCATCGCATACAGCCTGGTATGGTTTTGGAAGGGGGGCGCACTCTTTCCCAACCAGCCAGGCTGCATGGTCATGCTGTTTTTTTTCAGCATGGGGTTCCACCCCTTAAGGTCCATACCACACCCAAGTTAAGGGTCTGGTATGTAGTTTCAGGGGAACCCTATATAGTGATTTGTAATGTACTCATCACTGTTTGATTGTTGTGACTTTGACTGCTGTTCCCAATCCAGACAGGACATCTTTTGGGTGCAAATATCTATGCTTGCTCCTAAACACATACTTTAGAAGAAAAAAAACATTTTCTATTTTTTTCCTTCTCTTTTATCTTCTTCTCGGTTGCATTGCATTGCATGTTCTGGGTTTGATGGTGCCCCCCTTTAGGCAGTCCTGTATGCCCAATTAATTTCAGAAAGTTGCAACTCATCATTCTGCCAGAACACTCACCAGAGTCTCTATTACTCCATTTACCTGACCAACAAAACCCTCCAATGGTGGCACCCGGGACGCACCCCCTTATGACGCCACTGTTGGCATGTGAAAGGTATTTCAGCTGTACTTCTCCTTGTATTCTCCTTTACAGTGTGTGTGTGTGTGTGTGTGTGTGTGTGTGTGTGTGTGTGTGTGTGTGTGTGTGTGTGTCAGCCTCTGTGGTTAACAGACATATTGTACAGTATAGCTCTCTCTTATGCCTTTTTGCAGCCATCCAACAGTTTAATTCACTTTAAATGAGAACCCTGGCTATTTTATATTTCCTTACAGTTTTGCAGCTAAAATATCTGAAAAGGACAATTTTTAGGTATAACATGCAGCATTGCATTTAAAAAAGTGAAACAAATCTACTGTAATCCAACAAATATTGCATCTATGCTAATTCAGAAATCTCAAGCATTTTAGGGTCATTTTTGGTCAGTGTATATACCTCTATTACATTGCTGGTCAGTGTATATACACCTCTGTTACATTGCTGGTCAGTGTATATACCTCCGTTACATTGCTGGTCAGTGTATATACCTCCGTTACATTGCTGGTCAGTGTACATACCTCCATTAAATTGCTGGTCAGTGTATATACCTCCATTACATTGCTGGTCAGTGTATATACCTCTGTTACAGTGCTGGTCAGTGTATATACCTCCATTACATTGCTGGTCAGTGTATATACCTCCGTTACATTGGCAGTCACTGAGAATACCTCCGTTACATTGGCAGTCAGTGTAAGGCCTCCTAACTAATTCTCTCCTCGTTCTCTTTCTCCTGTATATTCTCCCAAAGAAAATTCTGCACGGCGCTAGAGTGTTTGGGTTTCGCTTGAAGAAAAGGTGGCAACTCTAAGGGGGTGATTTACTAACCTAAACACACGCACTAGGTGCGTGTGATTTTTTACACAGCAAAACTTATTTATCAACCAAAAAGACTCACTGACACTTAGGGGTTGATTTACTAACCTTATAAACACGCCACGAACAAGTATACACCTCTGTAGTGTGTTCCCTCCCAGCATGATCTATTGGTGGAATCTAGACACCTTTGTAGTATGTACACACCCAGCAGGTGTGTTGTGCAAAGCCCTGCATGAATTGCAAGGTGATGTTGTGTAAATTAGCTCTACATTGTGTTGCTTGCGTTGATGAATGCAGGAATGTAAATGCATGAGCTAACCATTTTTGTCTAAACTGTGAAGCAGCATTATATATGCATCATGTGCATGATTTTTCCATATATGGCATTAGTGGAAATATGCTTTTAGAGACTTTTTGGTTGATAAATAAGTTTTGCTGTGTAAAAATCACACGCACCTAGTGCGTGCGTGTGTTTAGGTTAGTAAATCACCCCCAATGCCTCATATCCCATAGTTCACATAGTAGCTTATAACTCTGTTACACACACATAGACTGATTGATGGCGTCTCATCACAAAAAACAACTATATATGTTTGCCGCAGCGACAAAGGATTCATTGGGGGAAGCAATTGATGTTCTAGTAGCTTCATGAAAACATAGTCTGATATACAGTGGGGGGAATTCATCAAAACTGGAGCAGACAAAATCTGAAGCAGATTTTCACTGCAACCAATCAGCTTCTCTGAGTGGAGCAAGTAGCTGGTCTTGCCCACGGCGCTAAATAGATTTGCACCGACCCTGCCTAGGATATAGTTCTTCCTTCATTGTGCCAATCCAGATTGCAGGCAAGATAAGCTTATCCACACACTTGATGTAAGCAGATGTGTTGCATTCAGAATTCAAGATAAGTGTATGTATAAAGTCACTCGCATTCCAATAGAATTTCAAGTCAAAAACGGTTTATTGACTTGATTGCTATCACATCATATATCGACGTTTCGGAACAACACCGGTTCCTTCTTCAGGCAAACAGAATGTGACACATTCCAAAACGTCGCTATATGATGTGATGCAATAACTCGGACTAAATTGCCAACCAATTGGTAAGTTCTTACTAAACAACCACTGGATCACTAGGGAATGTGAAGGTAACGTGCTCTCTCTTTTATTTTGTGTTTGGGGGGGGGGGGCAAGGGTAATATTATTCTTTAGTGTGCGTGTGTATTAGGCCCCATTCACACTTGTACGTTGAGGTTTGATTAGGGATTTCTGAGTCAGGAATTTGCGTTTTACTGCAGCAGGAATCCCTAATCTGGTGTTTACAAGTGGCAGCTGTCACCTATTCAAGTTACTGATCAGGTGACAGCTGCAAATGCCAGAACACCGCATGCAATGGTGTGTGATATGATTACATGTGGTTAGGAATCAATCCTATGCGTCCAGAAAGAGTGACTGTTTTCTAACTGCATGTAATCATATCACATACCATTACATGCGGTGTGCAGGTGTTTACATGATCATTACCTGATCATTAACTAGAATGGGTGACAGCTGCCACTTGTAATTGGCAGATTAGGGATTCCTGCTGAAGGGAAACACACATTTTGAAGTAAACACACCATGGGAGAAGATCATTTGTCCAGTGGACCCTGAATTAATTGAGTTTGAGACCCCTGATCTAAAGCCTAGGCAAAGTCATTGTCTGTAGCTTAAGGATTGCTTCAAATGTTAAAAGGTACTTATTTTCAGAAAAATTATATTGCTGCTGCATATTGTGACATGTCAGGAATTTATTCATACATACTTGTAAAGTTATTAAAAAGTGAACCTGAAGGACATATACAGGTTATATTTAGTTATCTGTTATCAAATGAGTTCCAACCCAGCTGATGGATTCTTTCTACAAACCTCAGATACTTGGACATGTGGGCTCACTGCTATATTGGCAAAAGCTATATTGTGTGCAGTACACAGTGTGTTTAGCTGTAAGCCCTCGTTCACACCTGAATGTTTCGTAGCGCGTTCTACGCTCGACGAACGCTCTACAAAACGCTCAAAAATATAAATCCCATTGTATTCAATGGTCTCGTTCCCACCTTGGCGTATTTCCGCCCGTCCCTAACGCGCTACAAACGGCCCACGCTTGAAAAGGTACAGGTACTACTTTGGGCCGTTTTGTTGCGCGTTTCCATTGGGATACAGCCAAGTAGCCTTCAGAAACGCGCGACGGTCGCGCAACTTTTTTTACCGCGGTAAAAAAACGCGCGACAGACGCGCATATGCAATACGCTTAGGTGTGAACGAGACCTAACAGTCTTTCAGAAAATATGCTGATGATAATGTCAGATATACAGCTAGTCATGAGAGGGAGGAACTACAAATAAGTTAATTTTACAATAACTCGGACTAAATAGCAAACCAATTGGTAAGTTCTTACTAAACAACCACTGGATCACTAGGGAATGTGAAGGTAACAGGCTCTAAAAATATTTAGAAACTGATGCTGTGACCATGTTAAAATGTACTGACCAATATCACCCATACAATACAATCACCTTTAACAATTATTTGGCGACTAAAACTGCAACAGTGATGCATATAGAAACAGCAGTATGCAAAAACAGTAGGTACACTTGTCTTGCTTCACTCATTTCTTTCCCAAACCACGTCTGCTTTAAACCGAACGCTTACAGGGGGGGGATCAAATTTGCCTTTAGTAGGTCATGTATGGTCACCTTCAGTCAGCTGTATAAAGGGTACGCGTCTCATTTTATCTTGTTTTGATAGATGGGGAAATGGTTCAAGCCTGTCATTCCTTTACTGTTGTCTGTGTCCCTATTGTAAATATGTGCTGGGAAACGTTTTGCTGTCCTATTGTAAATATTTCCCATCACTTACTGTTGGGATAGCAAGTGATATCAATTATTTTTAAGGGTGATAGACACCAAAAAATAGAGTTAGGAAGGGTTAGAGGTTTTTTTTATCGTTTCTTCCGTCAGTGCCTTTCTGTCCCGGGGACAACTCATCCCGTCTCCAGGACAGAAAGCGAGCCAGATATCCTCAAATGAGTCACAGACCCAAAAACCTGACAGAAGTTTTAACTCTTAACCATTCTATTCAACACAAAATATAATGTTTTTGCTGGAACTGAGAGCTTTAAGTTGTCCGCATGTTAAGAATTTCTAGAAATGTAGTCTGAAGGTATGACATTAGTGAGAAATATTTCTCTTTCTAAGTGAACTAAAGGTGGCCATGCATGACCCGATAAAAGTGAAGCCCTGCCATGTTACACAACAATGTATAAAATCACAGATAAATATATACTTTTTAAAATGTCCTTACCTCCATGTAAGGTATAATGCGGCAGGAGAGCGCCCCAAGCAATCTACGATGTGTGATCTGCTGAAAAACAACTACAGGCAAGCAGAAAAAAAGAAGAATAAAGTCCCAGAGGGCTACAGCAGCCAGGATGGAGTCCCAAGCGCTCTTCATAGACATACTGTGCCACACTATGCACATGATGGATAGATTGCCAACAATACCCACAGCAAAGACCACCAGAGACAGCAGAAGCACTCCGTAGGCACTCAGGGAATTTTCACCTAAGGGATACAGTGAGTTTACAATCTTTGGTGCCCCAGTAGATGATATGGAAGAATCATTATATATTCGTTTTACATCCGGCTTTCCACTGGTTGTTGACTTGATGAGCCTCGGGTATCCCATTAGGGCAGGATTTTGCCTGGACTCGTCAGCTTGTGAACCTCTTTTGCCTTGATTTCCCACCTGCTTTGCTGCCTCCTGAACATCTTTTTCCACTAAATTTTTGCTGCTGGGCAAACTCAGGTTTCCAGACAGTGAGCTGGAATCAGTGGATTCAATAATAATGAACTGAAAAAACAAAATAAACTCTAAATACTTGGATCTGACCGTTAAACCTTTCATAGTTGCAGAGAAAAGTCTTGTAGCGTCAAGACAGGGGAGTGTAATGCGTATAGACGGTTGGGGGAGAAAAGCTCAGCTGTAGGGAACACAAAGCAGCCATTATTCTTTTCTGAATACCTCACAGTGTCTCTCCCACATGACTGAACATTGTGGCAGACTCTGCTCACTACTATTATACATACTCCATGTTTCAGTCAATAACTTTTGTGTCCTAGCACCAGCTAGTGGCGTCATTTAAAATGACAGTACCATTTATAAATGCTTCAAGATATGGCATTCAGGGAGAGTTTGAAGCCTTTAAAGTGATCAATTGTGGCAACACCATGTAATGATCAGGTAAGCGAATGACAGCAAACATATACTGTATATTATACTAGCCTTGCAATTGTCTGCTTTGAAATATCCATTGAGGAGTCAATCAACAGGATGACTATGATTACCTTTATATTTAACAATTAAGTGAGATGAATAAGTTCCTAGGCAATAAAATACCCAATCATATAATGGAAAAAAAATTCAAAAAAATATTTTGCTTGCACGTGATTGGATGATGAAAGTCAGCAGGGATTCACATAGTTCACTAAGGGAACCCCGCCCCCCCCCTACAAAGTGCAACTGTGAACGGCCTATTTGCCTTTAGTAAACCTACTCACATGTGTTCAGTTAAATTAGGGTCAAATATTAATCTGTTGTAAAAAGTTTACAAGGGAAGCCAATTGCACACTATGCTGATTTACTTGTGTCTTTTGTAAATCATATTTACAGTAAAATGTAATTGTAGTCAGGAAGTATGCATACGAAAGCAGGCTTATGTCAATATAGCATGTTTGGTGGACACCCCAAAAGGCTACAAGTAATAAAGATAGCTAAAGCTAAAAAGTTAGTAATGAACAGTTAGCTAAAACTTGTTTATTAGGTTCTCTTGAAAGCTCCTATGTATATGATAATTTACAAGCTTCAATCTTTGGGCATTGATGAAATGGGGTGTACTTGGATAGAGAACTGGCTAAGTGAACGTGTTCAGAGAGTATCAATAAATGGCTCATTTTACAAGTGGTCCTTGGTTGGCAGAGGCGTGCCTCAGGGTTCTGTCTTGGGGCCATTGCTGTTCAACCTGTTTATCAATGATATTGGGACTGATATGAATATTTCAGTTTTTGCTAACAATACCAAAATTTGTAGGGTGATAAACTCGACAGAAGACATAGAAATATTACAGGAAGATTTGGATAAAATAGGGGGTGGGCATCTACATGGCAGATGAGGTTTATTTATTTAGTGTAAGGTTCTGCATTTTGGAGATTTGGGAGTCCTAGTGAACGGTTGCATTAGTAACAGTATGCAAAGCCAGGCAGCAGCAAATAAGGTGAGCAGGGTACTTTCATGTATAAAAAAGGGAATGTACTGTAAAGACAAATCCATAATTCTGCCCCGTACAAAACACTGGTCCGGCCACATCTTGAGTATGCGCTTCAGTTTATTCACAGAATAAAGGGGCCTAAAATTAGAGGACCTAAACTATGAGGAAAGACTGCAAGCCAGTGGCACCCAGGGCCTGATTTACTCTCGGTGCTGCCCCAAGGCCAGGTTGCTCTTTGTGCCAACCCTCCCCCCAATGGGGAATGGCAACAAAATGGAGGGGGTGGCAGGGCTGTACTTTATCACTTTTTTATTATTTTTTACTTATCTTTTTATAATTTTTATTTTATAATTTTTTTCTTTACTTAAACAATTATAGACCTTTTATTTGTAAGTGAGCAAACTTAAAATCTGCAGTGGATCAAATCATTATTTTCCTCACTGTATACAAAATATACGATTAAATTTTTAACCTGCAAAACTGGAATTTGCCCCTTAAGGCCAGTCTGATGGCCCATCGGGCACACCCAACAAATCTACTAATACCCATTAAGTTATTTTTCTTTAACGTGTTTATGTTTCAATAACGTTTTTGGTTACGTTTGCGGCTTTTACTATGTCTATTTACCCATATCAGTTTAAGTAGCCTGCTTTCTACTTGGCCTAGGCTGGCTACATATTTAAAATCTTTGCATGCCACATCACCAAACTATTGTTATCATTTTAACTCAATTTAAAACAATACTTTTGCGAAATAAACAAACACACTTAATTGTAATAACTTTTTCCCAATAAAGGGAACTCCAACAGGTGCACTTTATTGAAGGCCACAGTTGCAGTCGAGCAACAGACAATATGAGATGACGAGGGAAAAACAAACAATATACCATACCAGTGTTTGTATATTTTTCAGTGTAGACTATAGTGGCTTTTCCTCATCCCTACTTTCTTTTCTTCTCTATAACATATGTGAACCAGAATAGTGCAACAGCCCATATTAACATGTTCTTAGTCTATTTTTCACTAGATGTAGAAGAAATGTTTGTAATGAGGATATACAGTACCAATCACTATAGCACTATTATTTACAACTTGGTAAAGATATAATGGCCAGCGGAAAATATTACAAATCATCATCTGGTTATTTTTGCTGGTTTTCACAAATGCAGACTTAAACAAAATGTACCGTTTAATGCGTAATACATGGAAGAATTAGAGGACATTGAAGAGGTCACTGAACAAATGGAAGATGGCAGAAGAAGCAATCCCCTTCCATTTCTAGAGACATTTTGGAAATGTATTAGTTTACTTTTTAAACAAAAATGGGTGGCAAGTAGAGTTGGGAAGGGCTGGAAAAAAAAGAAAGACATTTTTTTGAAAAAGACCTTTTCCCCCCGTTTTTTTTCTAAAGCCGTTTTTGTTTTTTTCCGGAAAAATTTAAAAAAAAAAAAAAAAAAAAAGGAGTGTGGAATATGTTCTTTCTCAAGGATAAATAATATAACTTTGACATGGTATTCAAGCTATACAACATGAAGACCTTAATGAAAGATTTCTGAGACTATGTAATGTCCTAAATTATTGCACATTTTCTCGGCTGAAGACAAGTAAATCCTGGAATACAATTCAAGTAACACTGTATTTCTCAATGCAGTTCTCAAACTCAAAAAGAAATATGCATTTCTGCCACTAGGGGCACTACAGAGGAAAGGCTCCAGTTTAGTTAGCTTGTGGGCTCTATCTTGTACTTCCTACAGTTGGGCGATTGTTGGTATGATGGTAGATGATAGTTTATGTCCTCTCAAGCCTCTCGGGGTACATTTGTCTGACAAATTTAGTTTATCTTTATAACCTTTAAATCAGGGGTGCCCATTAGGTCGATCGCGATCTACCAGTCGATCGCGTAACGATCACTGGTAGATCGCAATGTCCTGGGGCTTCTCCTCTGGATCCCCGCTGCTCTCCCCAGCTGTATGCAGCGGGGAAATGAGAAGTGAAGGAACCACTGCAGCCGGCGGGTGGGAGGGAGGAGGACGGAGCCGCTGTCACCGAACTAAGGACGAACGGTGAGGGAAGCGTGAGAGAGAGACACTCGGCCAGGATCTGACAGCCGGCGCCTCTCTCTCCCCTCACCACTCGGCCTTAGTTCTGTGACAGCGGCTCCCTCCTCCTCGGCTGAAGTGTTTCTGTCACTACTCCTCGGATTCCCGCCGCTGCCTCTGCCCAGGGATCCATAGGAGAAGCTGAGCCCCCGTGTGCATGGCCGAGTGGTGGAGGATCGGAACATATCAGTGATATGTTCCGATCCTCTCTGCAGGACAAACACTGGAGCGATCAGCTGATCACTCCAGTGTTTGTAAATAACTGGGGACACATAGTACTATGTGTCCCCAGTTAGGAATGAACAGGATGTGATTTACATCACACCCTGTTCATTCATGAGTTTCTCAATGGGGAGAAGCACTCTGTACAGAGGCTTCTCCCCATTCAGAAACTGGATGATAGTAAATATTTTCTAAATGAATGGGAAGCCTCTGTGCTTTCCATTCATTTAGAACAGAGGCTGCAGAAAAAAAGATTGAGGACTTTGTGTCCTCAATTTATTTTTCTATTTTAAAAAGGGAAATGTCAGGAGGCTGTTTCACCGAAGCATCCCCCAAGAAGTTAAAAAATAAGCAAAAATAAATAAAAAATAATAATAAAAAAAAACAAAACATACTGGAAGGAG